TCTACATTCTTCAATATGCCGTCGCGCGAATCGCTTATCGTACGGCACCCGACCCGTATTTTGACCCGACCCAGTTTTAATCGGAGCAGTCGCAGATAGATTTCGAGTCTGTAAACGTCTCGCCGGGGAAATTTATCGTATCCTTTTCCGTTCCGTTGTTCAGGGAAACAGAAAATGGCGACCGGTTTAGCCCTGAATCGCTGCTCGGTTTCGGTATGTAGAACGGCCGATAATTTGCTTAACCGGCCAACAGTCTCCGTCGTCAAGAGTTTGAAATTCAGTCGCCGGCTAATCGGAAACTGTTCGATTACGGCGGATCCTTTCGTTGCGATGGAAGACGAGAAGTACGGTAACAAACAGGTGATCAGTCTCACTCCTCGTCTTTACGACTATGTCCTCTCCAACGTTCGCGAGCCTAAGGTATGTATCTCTGATTCTCTTCCTCTGCTTTGATTTTCGTCTTGCTGTTCTTAGATTTAAGGATTTTACTTGATTCTGACTTTAGATTCTAAGGCAACTCCGGGAAGAGACTTCCAAAATGCGAGGTAGTCAAATGCAGGTAATGATTTCACTCAGGATTAGGGTTCTCTTCATGGTTTATGCTGTTTGATATGGTAAACAAGATTGGACAATAGTGTTGTTGTCACTACCAATCTAACTTTGTAGTATATAGATTTACATTTGGTTTTGGTTGTAGGTATCTCCTGAGCAGGCACAATTACTAGCAATGCTTGTACAGATTCTTGGAGCAGAAAAATGTATTGAAGTTGGAGTTTACACGGTGTTAATCTTCTTCTTCCTAAGAGTTTTCTTGAACATTTTCATTACTTCGTAATGAAAATGATAACGAGCTCGTGTTTCCAACAGGGATATTCATCATTGGCTGTAGCGTTGGCTCTACCAGAATCAGGGTGTCTTGTTGCCTGTGATAGGGATTCTAACTCTCTTGAAGTAGCTAAGAGGTACTATGAGCTTGCCGGAGTCTCTCACAAGGTGAGTCCGAAAAATGCGAAAAGATCAGTTGCCTCTTGTAAATGGTTTCTTA